CTCAACAGTGCTGAATTGTACAATCCATCAACAGGCACTTGGACAACTACAGGAAGCATGAGTGATGCACGACAATATCACACAGCATCCACATTAGCAAATGGATCCGTATTAGTTGCTGGTGGAGCAGACAGCTACGGTAATCGTCTTAATAGTGCTGAATTGTACAATCCATCAACAGGTACTTGGATAACTACAGCAAACATGAGTACCGCACGAGCTGATCACACAGCAACCACTTTAGCAAATGGAAAAGTATTATTTACTGGTGGATTGAACAAGGATGGTTATCTCAATAGTTCTGAGCTTTATTAATCGATACAGACAGAATGACATTTTCTTTTGTGAACTAAATCATAATTCTTTCTATATGTAATCAAACTATTTAATCATGCACATTTCTTAATACATTATCATTCACCAAATAATATATGAGTTGCCGTAATATCTCGAAGTCATATTGTATAGTGGTTGTTGAGAAACAGCCATGATTAATAAAAGACAGATTATTATCTGTACAACTGAATGGATATAAATACAGATGTAAAGAATATTAATCATTCCTTGTTACTAACCACATGTATTCTGATCAGAGCAAGTTTACCGTGTGATGGTAACGTATGAATAATCATTTTCAAGTGAATATCAGAAATGAATAATTTAATAATATGTTCAAACAAATCAATTTTCTTAAACGAAACTCTTTATTGTCAAATAGTTTGATCATGTTAATTTTTGTATGTTAGAACGTGGATATATTTTATGTTCTTATTATGTGAATAATTTTATAAAATGAGTGATAGTTTCCACAAAAAACAAATCAAATGTTTTATGTCAAAGAAATATGGCATATCGTAGAAAAACTACTAATTGTTTCTGAATAAATGAATGAAAAAGAAAATAGAATTTACATTATTGAAAGTAAAAAGAGACGAGTGAGAATGTGAATCAGTATTCTTTTCACTTTGGGTGTGCATTTCAGGGTGAGTGGTGTAGGTCTTTTATCTGACACTGACATTCAGCTATTTATTCAGACGATGTTCAATGATCTTCTTCAGTAGAGACACATATGTGTGTGTTTAGCGATGCTTTTGTTTGTCGCATAGATATGAAGAAGAGATGAAATATGATGTTGATGTTATAGAACATTATAGTATATTTTCCTTATTTCATTTTGACCTACTTCTTCTCTTTTCTCTTTCTCTTTCTCTTCTCTTCATTTCATCATTCTCTTCAACTCCATCATCTTAGTGCGTGATCGGTGGTCACACTATCGGTTATTGCGTATATATATTATTTGATACATATATATACATGGAATTTCCTCTCTCTGTTGTTATTCTTTTCTATTTCTTCTATTATAGTTAGTTAGTGTTCTTGTTGTTCTCATTTCAAATATATCAAACTCACACATACATATATAGTCGAACATTAACATATGAGAACAATAACAACTTAGAAATCTACTGGATTCAGGGTGTGGATACATCCACTTCTATACCCTCAAGGTTTTCTCTGCTCAGATAGTTGACAGATAATTTCGTTAAACTATCTTGAATGTTGATGAACAACGGTGGCTATTCGTGGGTGTATTCGACGGACTTTTGGGTATTCGCAGGTAAACGCGTATTTCTAAAAATCTCTGGGTCGGATCATTCTCTCATATGGGTTAACTGTTAGAACGGAGATTTAGCTTTGATTAGGGTGTAGTAGTGGCGTAACCAGGGGGGGGGGGGGCCAGATGGGGCTTAGCCCCATCACCGAGTGTTTAAGCCCCATCACCCGGATTTTGTGGAACTCAAGTAAATTTTCCAAGGAAATCGTGAGTGTAAGTTTTAGGTTCAAGCTTCTCAGCTCCCCTCCCCTCCCCCCCCCCCAAATTCAATAAAAATACGCAAAAATCATAAAAAATAGCTATAAATTGCTAAAATTTTAATAAAAATACTGAAAAAGCGTTAAAAATAACTGTAAATTGCGGGATTGTCTATAAAATATAAGCAAAATGGTTAAATACAGCTATAAATTAGTAGAATTTTAATAAAAATAAGCAAAAATAGTTAAAAATAGCCATAAATTAACTAAATTTGAGCAAAAAAAGAAGACAAAGCGCTTAAACATGATCAGATATTTTGATGCGAACATACGTGAGCTCCACATTTTTAGCCCCAACGGGGCTGCGCTGATAAGCTTTTTTAGTTACTAAACTTGACAATCAAAAAATCCAAATGACTAGACAGTTTTGGGCAGAGCTGGGCAACTCAGCAGAAAAAAGTGAATTAATTCAATTCAATTCGTGAAAAAACTTTTGAATTCAATTTAACGCAATTCGCGTTCACTAGGAATTTTCTAGAATTCAACTCAGTTCAATTCAATTCAGTCATAGTAAAAACTTGTACTCAATTCAATTCAACTAGATTAATGAATGGAATTGAGTTAAGTTGAGTTCGTCATTTTTCGAACTGAGTTGTCCATTTCTGATTTTGGGGCTGAGCCCCATCACCCTTAAATTCCTGGTTACGCCACTAGGGTGTAGGTGTGGTTTCATCTTTTACTTACCCACACCCACACACACACATCTATATAAATAGGCTGAGATGTCGGGCATATACAGATATCGATGGATGTGAAGATCATAAGTAAAAATAATAGTCGTCTTGAGGGTAAATGTAGATGTGAGTGACTGTCGCTGTGATTAGGTGGGTACGTGAGTGTGGGTACTATCTTCGTCATCGATCACACTCACACCGTTATCGTAGTAGAACAAAATAAAATACTCGGTGGACTTTTCTTCGTTTGAGATATAAATGAATAAATCAATTTTAATATCTTTCTATCTTTGTTTAAATATTTCATCAAAAATAAGTGACGTTTGTTTACATATCGGTTTTGATATTATTCAACAACATTTAGCGAAACATGTGAGTCATGCATTTATGTTATTTCATCGATAGATGTTGGCCTTCTACAATTAATTAAAGAAAAGGATGATGTAAGATATTTTTTAATTTCAAATATTTCCGATTTTTCAAGAGAGAGTCGAATACCCTGAACAGTCTTCTTCTTATTTGAAGATGTGGATATGTATGAAAAGAATTGATAGATATACGTATTAATATTATCACATAATCACACATGTCATTCGCATTCACACCAAAATAATGATTTAGTAATAAGAGAAAAATATTCATCAGGGATCAATAATAAATTGTCGATAATATGTGTATATGTTCACTTTATCTTGAGAGATCTAACTGTTAAACTTTACTGAAAAGATTCCTTGGCTCAAATTGATTCATCAGATGTGTCGTTAATTTATTTTTATCTCATAATCATTTATTTTACTATAAAATAAAAACTATCACTATGATTGAAATTCTCCAACACGGAGAAAATATATGAAAATTTAAAGTCGAGTCAATTCCAGTGAAATAAACTTAAAGTTGTTTAACTGAAAAAATATTTCTTTTTTTTTCAATTTTGAGATCAGTAAAATATTATATTTTCTATTATATTTTTATTTATCTTATCAGAAAATTTATTTGTATTTTAAAATACATTTTTCTTTATTTCAAAATTATGAAATTCTTTCGATAATCTTTTCTTTTTGTTTTTGATTTCAAAACGACTTTCAAATATATAAATTATTAATATCTTTTTTTCAGTTATAAACTCTTTTATTTATATCATAAAATCCTGGAGAAAATAGAAAAATATAATGCCTTTCTCATTTCATATTTAGAGAGAAATTGTCATTTATAGTATTGTTATTAACTCTATTTTTAAGTGACACTTCATGATTAAGATAGGTTAGAATTGTTATTATTCAGTCAAGTATCATTGAGCTCGTTTTCTTTACGGCAATAAAAAAAATAGGTATAATCATAATATTCTCTTGAAGTATAGAGATGAACAATCAATTGATATAAAATTTCTAGATAAATATTGTATTGTCAATATATGCGTTTTTAAAATCTATTCTTTAGTAGATAATCCAATGTCATCATGATAAAAGGAAAAAAATAATTATTTATGTTGAAGTTGTGTATATTGTATTCAAATTTTGAAAGAATATTTTTCTTCGATAAAATATTAAAAGAAAGAAAAGACGTCATCAACTTGGTTTTTCTAATGTAATCATGCAGATGCTGTTTTCTACTTGCCATAATTATTTATTTAGATGTACTTTTTTGTGAAGCAATACACTTTGTATTATTATGATTAAAACAAACCTAGATGTGTTTATCACGTCTTTGTTGCCATCGTTTCTTTTTCTGAGGAAGAATCAAAAAGATTTTCCAACTAATGTTTTCTTCTTCTGTATACGTAGAACATCCTAACAACATACACATAAAAGAAAAAGAAAGAAAACTAAAACAAACAATTACTGCATGAATATTCTTTATTGAGAAAAAAAGTACGTTAGAATGTTTTGTTCTGATAAACAGTTATTTAATCAAAGTTATAATACTACAAAAGCTTAATCTCATAATTTTAACAGACATTAGATATCAAAGATCGACTTTACTCAAATGTGAATGATATATTGTATAATCTATGAAATAAATTTGAAATATATTTAGATTTGAACATATAAACAAATTTCATCTGCAACTACATGTTGTTTACATTCTCTTTTGAAAATTGAATTTTGTTGAATCGATCGTTCTTCATATAACTCCAAAGTTCTGTCTATGAATATATGTGTCCTTAAAAAATATTTAAACGCGTAGGAAAATCATTTTTACAAATGGATAATTGTTTTTTCAAAATAAAAAAAAAGTCCTTACAACTATTTTTGACTATACTATTGAAATGAATTGAGAAAAAAAACGACAGAGAAAGAGAGAGAAAAGCAGAAAAAATCATATATTTTGCCGTTGTACATGATATATTCAAACTTTGAAAGAATATCTTTCTTCAACAGAAAATTAAAAAAAAGAAAAGACGTCATCAACTGTTTAATAGTTTTTCTAATGTAATCATGCAGATGCTGTTTTCTAGTTGCTATAATTATTTATTTAGATGTACTTTTTCGTAAAACAACACACTTTGTATTATTATTATGATTACAACAAACCTAGATGTGTTTATTACGTCTTTGTTTCCATCGTTTCTTTTTTGAAGAAAAATCGAAAACAATTTCCAATTACCTTTTTTTCTTTTTCATACAAAATACATCATAGCAACATACAGATGAAAGGAAAATAAGGAAAACATTATCTGAATGAATATTTTTTATTGACGAAAAAGTATATTAGAATGTTTTGTTGTGATAAACAATTCTTTAACTTTGTTTAGAATAATGAAAAAAGTGTTTGTTTTGTTCTTGATTAACTCCATTATAGATATGAATATGAATTGTAATTTTGCATTAATGAAGAAAAGTGTGATACTCTATTGAGTTACAGCTCATGATATTCTTCTATCAAACAAGAACGCGAGAATAGAAACGATAAGACAGAAAACCAAATGCGAGATTTTCGAAATGTTGCTATAATGTATGTTTTGGTTCTCTTGTCTAATCAAACAACTCATCTGATGATGCGAGATTTAGATACTAATGATGGACTTTATTCTTTATGTTTTTATCTTTATTCATTTTTCATAGAACTCAAAAGATCTATTTATCAATATATTTGTTCTCAAATACCATTTAAATACAGGAATATCGTCTTTCTGAATGGATATTATTTTTTTAAAATAAAAAAATCCCAGGACTGGTTTTTCATTAGATTGATGAAATGAATTGAGAAAAAAAAGAAAGAAAGAAAAAAAAAAGAAAGAAAAAGCGAGAAAAAAATAGAGTTTATTGCTCAATAAATACTTAGTCTTCTACTGCGAGTTAAATTCATTTCATCAATTTACAATTTAGTTTTGTTATGGCTTCAAGAAGAGTTTACGTATGGTTTGTACTTATGATTATCACACAGGCAGTAGGAGAAGATATAAGATTCGTGGAAATGTCTTTAATGCCTGATCGTATATTTCAATGTGCTAATACAACTTGTTTACCATTCATTAATACTACTACATCAAGTATTAAGGATTGTCAGGTAGCCTGTTTAGCTCAAATTCAATGCCAAGCAGCCACGTTTTATAGATCAACTTCAAGTTGTGCATTATTTGCTGACATGCTGAACCAAAATGAAAATATTCTGGCTGATGCAGATGCCACTAGTATGATTGTTATTAGTGGAACACGATTTCCACCGGGTCAGTAGAAAAATAGAAGTAGTTTAGAAGAAAACATATCCGTGAGACATAACTGCATGAATACAGATACAACTTGTATCGCTCTTTTCCCGTATGACAATTCATACATCTGCGTACTCACATCTATGCATGTGCCGACATATATCTGACACATCGATACATATACTAATGAAAGAGTACACGTAAATGTATCTTTGTTCAGATCTACATGCATAAAATGTTGATACCAGTTGTATCTGTATTCACGCATCCCTTTTAAAATTATAAGAAATATGAATTGAATTTTCAAAAATTATTATAATAAAAGATTTAATCAAAATAAAAATTATAGAATTATAATAATAATTTAAATCATTTAAATATTTTCTATTTTATTATTATAATCAATTCATATTTCAATTCAATATATTTTAAACAAGAAGAAATAAATAAACAGACAAACATTATCGAATCGTTAAGTCTCAATCTTAAATTATTTTTCTAAAATAGAAACAACTACGACATCAACATCAACAACATCATCAACTTCAACAACATCATCAACAACATTCACAACAACATCATCTACATCATCAACAACAACAACATGCACTACATCATCATCATCAACAACAACTTCAACAACATCCACAACAACAACCACTTCAAAAACAACATCAACGTCCACAACAACAACAACAACTAC